ATCGAACCCCGATCGCCTGGATCCTAGGTCGACGCTCAACCGCTGAGCCACGCCCGGCCGGGCGCAACAGGATTTTTAAGTTGAATAGTAGCCCTGCTTATCCATCCCGGAGTCTTCTCGCCTCCCCAAGGCCCTCCAGCACTCTCTCTACGAAGCCGGGCGCAGGCTTCACCCCCTGCTGCCCGGCGCCACCCGCACAGCCCGCCCCGCCCAGCACAATGCCTGGCGCAGTCCCTCCGACCTCCGCCAGGGCTGCTCCAGAAGACGCCGCCCTCCCTGCTCCCTGATTTCATCCGTTTGTGCCAGGGCCCCTGGAATCACGCCTTGTTCCCAGTGTCAATACAATGAACATCGAGTGTGCCTTTTTGTAAAGTGCTCCAGTGAAGTGAGGATAATGGAACCAATTCATTCTCCGCCGCCAAGCAAACCAATTAAACGATTACCACGTGTTCCTTAAGCCAGCAAGTCCTTCGATATATTCCAAATTACATTTTGATACTGTAATCTTTATTTCCATATTAGAGACGTTAATGTGCTCACTAAACTAAAAAGTCACATAATTGGCAATAGGCATTTCAGCTAATGCAAATTAGCAGGTTCTGCTGAACTTGGAAAAGCGGGGAAAGGACACTATTTGGAAGACTGATGACAAGGCTATAAAAAAAGTACAGCCCTAGGCAAGATTTCCCGTGCTTGGACCCGAACACTGCCCCACTAGCACTAATTTTAATAGTATCGCCCTTAACAGTGTTAATATCACTGACACTGGCTATGAGTTCTATGATGAAAATTTCTATTAATTATCATTAAAAATTAAACTACCGTAATTTGCCAAAATTTAGATCCAATTCTTCAATTGAGAGCATATACACTGATGATTTTCTGAGGTTTAAATGCAAATGCTATTTCACTTTTCTAATAGGATTTTGTCCGATTTTTAAAGCTGTACAGCAGATTCTCAAACTGTGTTGCAGAGCAAGTCTTAATGGTACACGTAGTCCTTGCCTCAGAAATGGTACCTTTCAAAACCGTCCCCTGTTGAAATTTCGATTTAATCCCTGAATTAGCCCATATTAGGGAACTAAAAATATTTTCTAAACCACCTCTGAAGCCGCGCTTCCTGTTGTAATCATCAGATGCAGGTTTGCTTAAAGGATTTGCGTGGCCTTCCGTAATGAGCTCCTGGACGGAGCTTTCAGAGCTAAATGAGCAGGGACCCGAAATCCCCTGGCGAGGCGGGCACCCGCCTCCAGCAGGGCAGCAGACCCGCTGTTGCAAAGGGCAGCGTGCGCTGCGGGGGCTGATGGAGAGGCCCAAGCAAAGGGGCTCGACATGACGGCCCTCTCTTCTTAGTCGGACAGGTATTTAAATGTCCTCAAGCTAGGCCACCCAGCTGAATGTTGAGCTCTGCCCGTCACCTCCCGTCTTGTTTGACCCGACTCCCAGGGCAGCCCACCGCGTCCTTGTCTGTCCTTCCAGCTCCCTCCCTGGGAAACCCTCCTGCCCACAGCATTTTCTAATCCAGAGCCTCCAGGCTGGGGAGAGAAGGCGCTGTGCCCAGTGGCTATGAGGGTTTTCCTCCAAGTCCACTGCCTTCCCCATGGAGGCCTCAGGCCTTGGGCCCATGAAGGTCTCCTCCCTGCTCTCCCCCCTCAGCCCCTCTCACGCCAGTTCTTCCTGACGCCTAACTCAGGTTCTTATTTCCTAAGGTCCGACGTCCACAGGACAGTTTCCTGGCCACTCCCGATGCCCACGTTTCTGAGCTGGGGCGTTACATCTGTACAGTTGGCACTAGGCCAGGCTCACCGCGTCTGGCTGGAGAATTGTTTATGTGAGCATCCGGCCTCCCAGGCAGCAGGAGGCTCCTGGACAGGGGCCACGTGTCGTGAGCTCTGACCCTAATGCCAGCAACACTCTGGTGAGTGTCTTGTGAAGTCCCCCTCAGATGTGAGCCCTGGTGCCTCAGCCATGGTGACGAGCACCCAGAGTGGACTCAGGGTCGCAGATGACAGCTGCAGTACCGAGTCGCCCGACGACCACACAAGGACACCTGCTAAGAGGTGTGACGTGCCCCAGCCTCCAGGAGGCCCTCGGCACAAACAGTGGCCGTTCCTGTCAAAAGTTCACTGTGGTGCAAAGGGAGGTACTTACTAAGGCGAACTTCTTGTTGAGAATCATCTGCTCCACCAGCGAGGACTCGTTGTGGAAGAGGTGGGGCTGCATGTGGCTCCACATGTGCGGGAACCACCAGAACTCGGCCACGGACCCCAGCAGGCGGTCGTCGCCTTTGTCTTCCTCCTCGGTCCCTGGGGGGCAATTAATTCCCGTTACACTGGTTCTCTGTCGTCTATTGATCTATATCTATCATCTATCTATCTAATCTATCATCTATATCTATCTATCTATATCTATCTATCTATCATCTATCTATCTATCTATCTATCTATCATCATCTATCTATCTATATCTATCATCTATCATCTATCTATCATCTATCTATCTATCTATCATCTATCTATCTATCTATCTATCTATCTATCTATCTATCTATCTATCTATCATCTATCTATCTCTATCTATCTATCTATCTATCTATCTATCATCTATCTATCTGTCTGTCTATCTATCTATCTATCTATCTATCTATCTATCTATCTATCTATCTCTATCATCTATCATCAATTATCTTCATCATCTATCTATCACCTACGAGTCAGTTTATCATCGATCTAATTCTATACTCCTAGATACATATTTGGAAGACACCATTCCTATGGTCTTAGATATATAAGACTTTGAACATAAAATGTAGCACAACAAATCTATTACTTGGGAACAAGGGACAAGTTCTTTTTAAAAGTTTTTAAACAGGAGACCTGGACACCGCGTGCTGGGAATACAGAACCGTTCAAGGGCATGAGAACCCTTAGCTTGCAGCATCTTTGTGTGACTTGTGCTTTGCAAAGTGGGGGAGGAACAGGAGTAGGGGAGCGAGTGGCAGAGCCCCAGCAGAGCGTGTCACAACTGTCACAGCAAAGCAATGCTGCCATTTATCCGGGATGCTCCCAATGTCTGAACAGAAGCTACTCAGAAACAGTGAAAACCAAGGGAGGTGAAGGAGACTGAAGAGGGAGCATGGGAATCATTACGGGGGAGAGATCTAGGAAGGGGCAGGATGGGAGTGAAGGGAGGTGCTGAGGACAGTTCCAGGGGGCCCTGGTGGCAGCCCTGTCCCCATGCCTGTCCTTCCTCTCTGGTCCTTGGAAGCTGGCTTCCCATCAGGAAAATCCTGGTTCCTTGAGAGTCCCCGACTTTAATCCTCTGGCTTCCACGCTTGGGGTGCTTGCCTGGCTTCCCCACGCAGGTCCGCTGAGGGTGGGGACTTGCCCAGAGGACTATCCTGCACCAGGAGCTGGGCTCAGGGTGGGAACTTGCCCAGAGGACTACCCCGCACCAGGGGCTGGGCTCAGGGTGGGAACTTGCCCAGAGGACTACCCTGCACCAGGGGCTGGGCTCAGGGTGGGAACTTGCCCAGAGCCCCGACCCCATGCTAGGGGTTGGGCTGAGGGTGGGGACTTGCCCAGAGGACTACCCTGCACCAGGGGCTGGGCTCAGGGTGGGAACTTGCCCAGAGCCCCGACCCCATGCTAGGGGTTGGGCTGAGGGTGGGGACTTGCCCAGAGGACTACCCTGCACCAGGGGCTGGGCTCAGGGTGGGAACTTGCCCAGAGCCCCGACCCCATGCTAGGGGTTGGGCTGAGGGTGGGGACTTGCCCAGAGGACTACCCTGCACCAGGGGCTGGGCTCAGGGTGGGAACTTGCCCAGAGCCCCGACCCCATGCTAGGGGTTGGGCTGAGGGTGGGGACTTGCCCAGAGGACTACCCTGCACCAGGGGCTGAGCTCAGGGTGCAGAGCCCCTACCCTGCACCAGGGGCTGGGGTGTCTTCTTGGACCTCCAGGCACCTTTCCTCACTCAGGCACGAGAGTGCAGGTGGGTCACCACCATCCTGGGGTGTCACAGGTGGTAACGATCGTCACAAACTCCTGCAGCCCCTCTTCAATCTCAGGCACACTGACTCTAGCAGGCACTGGAGCAGGAGATTCTCTAGGTCGCATGTCCTGTGTGGGGACATGTCCTCCTGCACCTTCAGTAGCCCAGCTGATGGCGCTGGTCTCAGGCGGAGGGGACCATGGCTGTGCCCCGCGTGCTGGCTCCCTGGGCTCCTCTAATTTCCCAGGAGAGGGAGGGCGGAGCCCACTGGCAGGGGAGGAACTGGTCCTGTGACTACTGGGCAATGACCTTGACTCAGCAGGGCAGGGGTGGGACAGGGCCACAGGCAGTCTCCTTTATGCTGAGGAACAGGAGAGGGGCGCAGAGTGACTGCAGGACAGTCCTTCAGCCCGAAATGTCGCCTTTCCCTGCTCACGCGCTCTGCCTCCAGGAAGGAGCTTCTCTCTCGGTAAAGGGCGTCTCTAAACCTACTGTTTCCCCTTCATCACGCACTCACGTCACCACAGCGCAGGGACAGGCACAGCCGTGGAGTCTCGACATTCTTATTTATTTGATTTATTTACTTTGTTAACCCTCACCTGACCATATTTTCCCATTGATTTTAGAGAGAATGGAAGGGAGGGAGATTGAAACACAGATGTGGGTGACACATCGATTGGTTGCCTCCCACATGCCCCCCGACAGGGCCCGGGATCAAACCTACAACCAGATACGTGCCCTTGACTGGGAATCGAACCCTGGGCCCTTCTGTGCGCTGGCCAACGCTCTAACCGCTGAGCCACACAGGCCAAGGCGAGTCTTGATGTTTGTAGACAGTGTGTAGGTTCCCTCACTTGCGGGTAAGGCATGGATCCCGTAAGTGTTGGGACTGAGGTAGGAGGAAGGGTGTCGGTCACCCTGACACACGCGGGACTCTCACTGCCCGTTTCCCCCTCCCCGCCCACCTCCCCACGCCTGTGCTCCTGTCGCTCCCGTCGCCCGGAGTTCTGGGTTGTGTTTTCCCCGCTGTGATACTGTAGGGGGAGGGTCTCACCTGAGTGTTATGGGGCAGAGGGGACTGTAGTTAAGAACCGGCAAGCCATTATATTCACTGATAGGCCTGATTAATGGTCACCACGGACCGTTCCTGGGGCTTTGGGTGGTTACCTTACAGCTCAGGGAAGCCTTCTAGAGGGGATTCAAAGGACAGGAAAAGGGGTCAGCGCTCTAGACTCTGATGAGCCCGACCGATCATGGCAGGGTTTGGGTCCTGCTACTTCTCAGGTGCCAAATAAGGTGGCCAAGGAAGCATTTGCCACATGTGACTGGTGGTGCTTAACCCATGTTTTTTGGACACGAGGATGATGTCATTTGTTTTCCCTGCGATTAAACGTCTCTACTCGTATCCAAGATAGTCCCCTCCTGTGCGTCCCCAGGACTCCATCTCCGTTGGGATCACAGCCAGTTCCTCGTTGCAGGTTTACTTCCCACACTGAGAATGGGCAGGAGTCCCCTGGGGTTCCCAGTACCCAGTTCATTCCTGACCCCCCCGGGGGAGTGAACTGAGGCCTCCCAGGGACGGGGAGTCGCCCTCCTGCTGCTTGTCACTCCTGTGCCTGTGCCCGGAACTCCCGTCTCCCCGCCTTTCCCTGCTCGTCTCCGTGAAGTTTGGGGACCTGACAGTCCCACAGGGCTCCGGGAGACGGCTCAGGCGTCCGTCCTTCCTGAAAGCAGGTGAAATCGGCTACTGAAATATTCCTGCACTGGAGTCACGCAGGACTTAGGCCGATGAGGGCCTCCCTCGGAGGGGCTGGCGTAGGTCCACAGTGGGCATAACCGCATTCTCCTTTCCTCTTTATAACTCTCTCCTGTCGCATTTCCTTTCATCCAACTTTGGGGATGTTTCACATCAGAATTAATTATGCTGAGAAAAAGTGTGTATTGCTAATTACTTTAAACATTATGATAAAAAGGGTGTGCAGAAAAGGGACCCCGTGTGCATTGCTGGCGGGGACGCAGATGGGTGCAGCCACTGTTGTCTCAAAAATTAAAAATGGAGCTGCCTTATGACCCAGTGATTCCACATCTGGCAATATATCCTAAGAATCCTGAAACTAATCAGAAAGAATATGTGCATCCCTATGTTCATAGCAGCGCAATTTACAATAGCTAAGATCTGGACACAGCCCAAGTGCCCCTCAGTAGACGAGTGGATAAAAAAGCTGTGGGACATTCACACCATGGAATACTACACAGCTGTAGAAAAGGAGGATCCCTTACCCTTTGCGACAGTATGGATGGAACTGGAGAAAATTACGCTAAGTGAAATAAGCCAGGCAGAGAGAGACAAACATCACATGATCTCACTCATTTGTGGAATCAAATCAACAAGATAAACTAACAAAACAGAAACAGACTCATCGATAGAGAGCCGGCGGACAGCTCTGGAGCGGGGGGACATAAGTGGGGGAGAGAGGGATTGAGCAAAAAAGAAAAGAAAAGAGAGAGAACTCATGGACATGGATGACAGTGTGGGATTGCGGGGGCAGAGAGGGGATAAATGGTGTTGGGAAACATAAAGCAAAATAATTTTTTTTTAAAAAGCAGTTGCACCATCACTGTGGTGGCTGGGGTGTCCTGGCCTTGGCCACCTCTGAGCCCCCACTTTGCCCACCTTCATGAGAACAGAGAGGAACCAGGGGTCAGACTCATCCATTTTAAGAGTCATTGCTAAGTTGTTACAAAACTACACCAAAATATCATAAAGTTATTGCGCATTATTTTTACTATCTAGTTAAATAAATGGTCCCTTCAGTATTTTATCTGCAGTTTTCCCCACTCTGCTATTTTACGAGAAGCCTCACTGCCTGAGATGTTACCTTCTGTCAAGCATTTTGTTCCATGTTTTGCAGTGTCATCGACTTAATTCTCGCTACAACCCTATGAGGTTAGGGACACCGCTAACTCCGTTTACAGACCAGGAAGCTGACGTGTGGGCGGGGGAAGTGATGTATCGAAGGTCACCAAGGATACCGGGCAGGACCCCAATTCCAACCCAGAGCAAGCAACTCCAAGTTCAGGGCCCCCTGCTCTCGTTCACTCACCAAGGTAGTTTGGAAATGGTATCAGCACTTACTAACAGTGCTCTCACGCACTGCATTAACCTGAGACGTAACTGGGATTTACAAACACTGTTGGTTCTCCGCGACTTGGGGTAATATACGAACCTAGAGAACCTACCGACAAGGAGAGGGAAACTTTGCCAGTCGGCTCTAGCCTAGGATTTTAATTATACATCTTTTCTAAGCCGTGGGCTCAGATGGACCTGAAGCTGAGCCTCGTTTTGACATTTAACCAGCGGCAGGACCTTGGGCCCCTCTAAGGTTCTATGTTCTTATCTAGAAGTAAAGGTAACATATTCTTTAACTCCTAGGATTCAATGAAAATGCACATGAAAAAGTGCTTATCTAAATACTAAAAGGGCACTGTAGTTCTAATTTCCTCCCTCTCTATTATTTCTCACGAAACGCACAACCGCTTCAAAAACCAAAGTCAGACAAGACGAAACCCTCTCCTGAAATAAAGTCTCTCCTCAAACAGCAGTGGCTGTTCTCCTCCGTGCCAAGACCGAATAAAATAGAATTTTTACTAGAAGAAGGAATTACTCATTTAGAAAGGGCAACACCGTAATTCAAGCTTTACGGTATCTGCTTTTGGAAAGATTCAGAGCATTACATTTTATACCTGTTCCCACTGAGATGCGATTTGACTGGTTTGAGACAACCCCAGCCTCATGCCTGTGGCAGCCTCGTGTCACATACAGATGACAAGGCCCGTTCGCGCCGTGGCCTTGGCTTCCTCCGTGCTCTGTGCTCTGTGCTCCGGCTTGGGGAGGACACGGGCGCGGGGGGAGGGGGGGAGGCGCCCCAGTAAAAAAGGAGACGCCCCTTTCAGAGACAAGAAGGCAGGCGAGCCACTGGCCGGTCCCCTTCATCCAGCGTCGCTACTGGGCAAAAGCACTGAGTTACTAGGAAGTGTTTGCTTGTATTTCCATTATGTTTGGGAAAGAAACTTTTTAATTATTCTTAATATTTTGAATGATTTCCTTTCACAACACAACATAGTCAAATTTTATTCTCTGACCCTGTTCTACACAAATACTGAAATGCAGGTGTTTGACTCTCACGCAGTCATTTGTCCACCGATTCATTTTTTTCAGCGGGCGCTGCGCGGTGGCTGGGTCACGGAGGCAGGGCCTTCACGGGGCGCTCATTTTACGGAGGGAAGAGAAAAACACACATAATGTACGGACAAAGCTTACCGAACTTTGAGCTTATTATTCTTTATGACAAACTCTTAGCAATCTGGGAATAGAAGGAAGCTTCCTGAAGCTCATAGTCTCTACAGAACAGTCTATTAAAAAGGGTCTCCCAGAGAACAGGAACAAATCTACTAAGAGATCTCCCCCTGAGGTCGGGGCCAAGACATGAGGGTAACCACTTTTATTTAATATTGCCCTGGGGATACAAGGGAGGGCAATAGGTGAGGGAAAGAAACAAAATTCATTAGGCTCAGAAAGGAAGAAATCAGATTTTCACTATTCAAAAATTACATGATTGTATCAGCAGAAAATCCAAAAGACTCCACAGAAAAACTGTAGAATTAATAAGTCGGTGTAGCAAGGTTGCTGGATACGAGATCAATACACAAAATCAGGTGTATTTTTATAGACCAACAACAAAGAAATGGAAAATAGAGACACCAGTTACTATTGCAACAAAAAACCCACCAAGGAATAAATTTAAATCTTGACTTTGATCTTACACACACAAACATCAATTTCAGATGGAGCACAGATTTATACATTTTAGGAACGTAGGAACGTATTTCCATAATCTTGTGGTATGTCACAAGATTTAAAAAGACACAAAGAGTTGACCATCAAGGGAAAAAAGATAAATTGGACCACATGAGAGTATTTTTGTTCATCAAAAAACACCATTAGGAGAGTGAAAAGACAATTCACACAGTAGGAGAAAGTATTTGCAACACATATAACTGACAAAGGACTCATTAAAAATATAAAGAATTTCTAAAAATCACTAGTAAAAGCAGACAACCCAATAGAAACACACCCATGTATTTTACAAAACAGGATATCAAATGGCCAAGAAACAGGTGAGAGAAGCTCCATTTCACTACTCATCAGAGAAAAGCACATTAAAACCAGCTTGTGACACCTCTGACTGTCCCCGTGGAAGGCTGAGGCGAACAAGACAAACACTGATACTGGGAGCGTAACGTGGCACAGCCGCTTTGGAGAACTGTCTGCCTTTTCTACTCAGGCTGATCGCAAGTGTGCCCTCTAACCAGCAGCTCTGCTCCCGGTTGATAACCCACAGAGAAGCACACTGACGTCCTCTGAAGGACGGGTACAAAGACCTTAACACCACCGTTCAAAACAAGCCACAGACGGGAGACACCCGCCCGTCACAGAATGTAATAAGGACCTTTCCGTGCATTCAAACAGTGCAACACCACGAAGCAAAGACAAAGAGAGAATCTCAGCTGCACACAGTAATATCCGTGACGCCAGCTTCATGTTGAGCAGCGCTAGCTGGGGAGAGAAAAGTCCACACTGTATGTTAACCTCTTCTACACAGGCCTCAGCACCGGGCAGGTGAATTTTTGAAATTAGAAGTCGGAATGCAGACGGGCGCAGCCACTGTGGAAAACAGCAAGGCGTTTCCTCAAAAAATTAAAAATGGAGCTGCCTTTTGACCCAGTGATCCTGCTTCTGGGAATATATCCTAAGAATCCTGAAACACTCATCAGAAAGAATACATGCACCCCCCTATGTTCACAGCAGCACAGTTTACAATAGCTGAGATCTGGTGCCCAGGTGCCCATCTGCAGATGAGTGGATAAAAAGCTGTGGGACATTCACACCATGGACACTACGCAGCTGTAAAAAAGATCCCTTACCCTCTGAGACGGCATGGGGGGACCCGGAGAGTATTATGCCAAGTGAAATAAGCCAGGCAGAGAAAGACAAGTATTACATGATCTCACTCATAGGTGGAATTTAATGAACAAAATAAACTGATGAAAATAGATCCAGAGACATAGAAGCATAGAGCAGACTGAGGGATCTCAGGGAAGGCGGGGTGGGTGGGTGGAGCGAGATTAACCTAAGACCTCCCGTGCATATATGCACAACCACGGACACAGGCCATAGTGCTATAGGCCTACGGGGGGCTGGGGTGGAGGGAGGGATCAATGGGAAAAGGGGACATCTGAAATACTTTCAACAATAAAGATAAATTAGAAAAGGAAGCCAGGCAGGGCTGTCTCTGCAGGAGGCTAGTGCCCCTGGGGGGGACCTGGTAGCTTTTCCTTCCGTGACCTGCATGCTGGTCACACGTTGTGTGCACTTGGTGAAAATTCACTGAACACTCACTATTTATGCAGTTTATAAAGGTAAATTGCAGCCAGTGGGAAGGAAAGCCGTTAGAGAATACCAAGGGGAATCGAGTTGCAAACCACGGACGTTTTGTAAAGGTTGAAAATCACCTGCTAGGTGGAACTGAATGACGGGAAAAGATACAGTTGGGGCGGGACCGAGGGGCGTGGGAAGGGGGGGAGGCAGGGGGGCTAGTTTTAAGCAGAGTCCGAGAGCCCTTGAAAGGAACCGTTACTCCCCCCTTTCTTACCTGTGTGGTAAAATTTCCCTGAAAATCCCAGGTTGAATGTAAAATTTGTAATTTGTGCACGTAAAAGGCTCTGAGTTTCAAGCAGGGCCTGAAAGACATAATTTTTAGACATGTCTCAGGTGGGGAAGGGCATTGAGCTTTCAAAGATATCTTCCTTCTGCATTCGAAGGGTGAACCTCTTTATACAGCAGAGAACTCAGGATGGAAAGGAAAGGACTTTCCTTATCACTTAAAGGGGAGATGCTCTCGAGATTACATAAAACCCACGAACAGACTTACCCTTCAGCCCGCAATAAATCAGCAGAAAGTGTCGGCCAGGAGCAGGACGTAAAACGAAACGTTTATTCTGCATGTATCAAAGGAACTAGTAGCTAGGACATAAAACATATCTCCTTTCACCCCTCAGGACTTAGACCACCCACTGTCAAAAGAAGGGTGCCCTCCCTAAGGGACACACGCAGGGAACTGGGAGCAGCACACTGTAGCTCTCAGGTGAATCTCCCGGCTTCAAAATTCAAGGCCTTTAAAGCAGAGAAACAAACAAATATAAAAGCACACCTCAGACGCATGAAGCTATTTGCAGTCAGTTTTAATGGCCATACCCTGTATTTATGATGCTATGAGCAGTATTTAATAGACCTGTTCTTGTCTCATTGTTATTTAAATTCCTATTCTTATATGCCTTCTCTCTCCCTCCCCCCTCCCTCTCTCCCCCCCTCTCTGTCTCTCACACAGCAACCCCCACCCTAGATGAGTGCCCACCTCACTGAAGCAGAAAGCTGCACTGAAAGGCAGGCATATCGAGATCTGAGCCTAAACTTCTTTTACACGTAAGGACACGGGAGAAACGACCCCCCACTTCACAGCGCAGTCCGCACAGGTCCCACGTCGCCTCCCTCCAGACCAGGGGCTCTTTGCTCTGCACGCCCGGCCTGCGCCTCCACAGCGCCGCTGGCCCACATCAAAGTCTGGTTTTCTTAGCAGAGCTGACCCCGGGGGCCCGGCCCTGTCATGGTCACGGGCTCCCTCTTTTTGGGGGGTAAACAGACACGCAGGTCTTTATTCGGAGATTGTCCCATGACCGCGCAACTTGTCTGTGAACGCAGCCACTATGCCTGTTGGACAAAAGCAGAGGACAGCTACTGAATCTGACATAAGTCCATCTGGCCAGTGGTAAGTTCTTGAGATTTAGGTGCCTAAGAATTTTTTTATCACCTCTCTGTTGGCACGGCCGCCCCCTCTGTGTCCATGACTGACCCATGTCACAGGTGGGTCCCAAGGGCACTCAGAGATGGAGCACGGGATGGCTGGTGTTTCCACACCCCTGAGGAGGCGAAAGGGTGACCTGGTGGCAGTCATTGGAGACAGGTACGGGGACGGTTAGGGTTAGGGTTTTCAAATCTGAGTCTATATGTTTTTTTTCACTCTACAAAGTGGAAAAAATTTGCATTAGAAGATCTAGTTGAAGGCAAAAAAGATCTAATTTGAAGAAACTGAGCTCTGAGAACTGAGCGAAATGGGAGCTTTTATATATTTTTGGATTTTCTCCAACTTTCTTTAACAGAGTGAGTGTATCAGTAAGTCGAAGAGACAGAAATGAAAACCATGTAAGTTTCACATGCAGACTCACGCTCGTCCGTGCCACATGCCACGTGCCGTGTCCTTTGGGGGCCGCTGGTGGTGGTTTTCATTCCCTCCCTGCGCCCCCTGGGTGCATTCCGACCCCAGTTATCTCTGGTAAGTCAACAGGAGGAGCTGCGAGCCCCACGAAAGCCGGGGAGACTTTTTAATGTTGAGTGTGGGTTTTTGAGAGGCTGGCAAAAATTCAGTGTTTCAGCCCAGACTTTAGAGTTAGCATTTCCTTCATCGGCCGCACACAACTTCAGACACAGCTGGGTGCTGGGAGGTAGCGCTGGTGGGTGTCACCCATGCCTGTGTCACTTGGCCCTTGCTTTATTTAGACTTTATCTCCCGCCATCCTGCTTCCTACCCCAGCTCAGGATGTGCTTGTCTTCCTGCCGGTCCCGAGGCCCCGGGGTGTCCTCGCTCCCGGCCTGCAGTCCTGGCTCTTGATGGGCGTCTCCCGGCCCTCGGGGCTTCCTCCTCACCTGCCTCAGTCTCTGCTTCAACACCATCTCCCTGGAGAGGCTCCTCTCACCACCCTCTTTTAAATAAATCTCTCCGTATTTGGTTTCCTTGGTTTACTTTTTTAATCACAGAGTTTATTAGCATTACTATGGGTGTATATTTATTTATAATCATCATTTAACTCCCCCATTAGAATCATTCATTTTACATTGTGACTTGGGACCATTCCCAGTAGCTTTGATAATCAATCCTAGGCTTGATTAAATTTTGAGTTATAGTTAGTAATTTGACTCTCAAACTTGGAAAATATGCCATTCTTTCTTTTCTCTTTTTTTTTTTTTTGAGGTCATTTGTTTTTGTAGATGGGAGCCCTCCCCCATAGGGCCCCATCTGCTCAGTCCCCTATTGGGGCCACACACACACACACACGCACACACACACACTTTAAAATGGAAGAAACTTGGGCCACTGATGAAAGTGTGGCATTTACACATCCCCTCATCTACACTATCAGGCGGAGACTGAGGCCGGACAGCCTGCGAGTTAGGCCTTAACGTTCTCTGCTGTGACGGACTCCACAAGCAGGATGGACTTTCACGTTCACACTGAATGTGACTTCTGTCCTGGGCCACGGTGGCTGGCAGATGGCTCTTATGTAATCCCCGCAGAGCTGGCAGGAGGTGACGCAGATACGTGAGCCCCTCCTTGCATCAGGAAGAGGGTGTCGGGGGCAGGTGGGCGGTGTCTGAATGACTAACCTCAAAATGTTAGGCGTGCTGGCAAAATCTGTGAAAGTGAGGGTTTCTAGGGAAACACGCCTGAGAAGATGGGGTCTTGTCAATGAATTGAGGAAAATCTTCGAAAAGATCTCACTACGTTGTTTGAATCTTAGTCTTTATTTCATAAGACAGTGCAGAGAAATTTCCTCAACTATTGATAAATTAAAAGCAGGTCACACAGCTAGAACAAATATTCCAAAAATTTATATGGAACCAAAAAAGACTCTGAATAGCCACAGCTATCTCGAGAAAGAAGAACAGAGTGGGAGGGATCACAATACCAGATATCAAGTTATATTACAAAGCCACTGTAATCAAAAGAGCCTGGGACTGGCACAGAACAGACATATCGATCAGTGGAACAGAACAGAGACCCCAGAAATAGTCCCACACCATTATGGTCAGTTAATATTTGACAAAAGGAGGCAAGAACGTACAATGGAGTAAAGACAGTCTCTTCAATAAGTGGTGCTGGGAAAATTGGACAGATACATGCAAAAAAATGAGACTAGATCACTAACTTACTCTATACACAAGAATAAACTCAAAATGGATAAAAGACTTAAATGTAAGTCATGAAACCATCAGAATGCAGACTGGGGCAGCCACTGTGGAAAACAGTATGGAGTTTCCTCAAAAAATTAGAAATGGAGCTGCTGTTTGACCCAGTGATTCCACTCCTAGGAATATACCCTAAGAATCCCATAACACTCATCAGAAAGAATATATGCAGCCCTATGTTTATAGCAGCACAGTTTACAATAGCTAAGGTCTGGGAACAGCCCAAGAGCCCATCAGTAGGTGATGGATAAAAGCTGTGGGACATTCACACCATGGACACTACGCAGCTGTAAAGAAGAAGAATCTCGTACCCTTTGGGACAGTGTGGAGGGACCTGGAGAGTGCTATGCTGAGAAATAAGCCAGGCAGAAGCATGGATCACACTGACGAATCTCAGAGGGAGGGTGGGGTGGAGGGGTGGGGAGAGAGTAACCAAAGAATCCACCTGCGTCTATGCACAACCCAGGGACACAGACAAGTGTGGTGAGGGACTGCGGAGGGGAGTGGGTGCGGTGGGGAAGGGGTTAATAGGGAAAAGGGGACATCTGTAATATTTTGAACAATAAAAAAACAAAACAGGCTAAGCTTTAGGAATGAGACTTGATTTCAAGGTGCTGAAATGGAAACATGAGGTACCTTGTGTGAGGGACCGAGGACTTGTGGGCAGGAAGAAGCTATGAGACTGTCACAGACTTTTTCAGAAATGGCCACAGTACAGAAGTGTGTTTCTAAGAAAATGAAATGCCCACGCGCCATCGCATTCCAGTTAAATGACAGGACTTTCCTACAAAGAAAGGGGTGTGGGACAGGCGAAATTCGCTACTGAAATACTGAAGCATGTCAGGTAATGTGAGTAGAACCACGGCCTGGTGTCTCCGTGGTGCTCCGTCGTCGATGTTCTTGGCAAATGCCCAGGGAACCAAGAAAAGCCGGCCCGTGGCTGAGTCCAGGGGCGACCGGGAGGCGGACGGAGGAAACTCTTCATTTCCTGGCTTTGTGTTCGCGTTTTCTCGTGAGGCTACATTATATATCTGCGTCTTTACCACCAAAGTTTTTAAAGTGGGCAAAGCACAGAAACAAAACAATACAAAACACCACCTTTAGCAAAAACTAGGTGTGACCAGCACGGGCGAGGGAGGAAGCCTGGATCGGCAACACGACCAGCACCGAGTCGCAGGCTTCCCCACGTGGCTCTGACCCTGCTGGCCGGCTGTCCCTGGGTCACAGCGTCAACTTACCCTTTCAGGGCTGGTGACTGCACTGGGCTACACACCAGGGCTTTCCTCTGTGGATCTGTCTAGACTCTATGTGAATTCCGAATGTGTCTGGGCAGTTCTGAGGCTTGTCTGAGCTCTTCTACTAGACAGTTTTTTCTTTTTTTTTAAAAAAAAATTCTATTTGAAAATATATCTTTATTGATTTTAGAGAGAGAAAGGGAGAGGGGGAGAGAGAGAGAGAAACATCAACAATGAGAGAGTCATTGATCGGCAGGTGCCTCCTGCACGCCTCCTACTGGGGATGGAGCCCGCAACCCGGGCACGTACCCTGACTGGGAATCGAACCCCGATCTCCTGGATCCTAGGCTGATGTGCAACTGCTGAGCCATGCCGGCCAGGCCCCCCACCTCCTTTTTTTTTTGAGTTTTCTTGATGTGGCGCAT